AGTGGCGTAAACTGTATTCACATTGTTGTATTGTTATCAATTTTGCTGATTCATTCATCGCTCGTCTTCATCGCTCTGTCGCCTAGACGTTCGTCTGCTTGTCTGCTGTCCTCGCAGTAGCTTGGACATCTATCACTTGTCGCCCAAAAGGGAAATGGATTGTGACCTCGACGTGTGAAGGAAGGATAGAGCAAGATAGCTACGAAGCTGTCTCTTCAGACGTCTATATCATCCGCAACTGTGTATTGGTGGACCACAGCGAGGAGCCATGGAAGAACTGCAGAAACTCGATGAAGCAAAAACGCACGGTTTAGTCGTTGAACAGGTGCCTATACACCGTAGCAATGCCACCACGCCTCGAGGGCTCCGAGTGCCGGCGATCGCTAATGCACAGCTTTCTTTTTAATCAGCAAAACTTCATACTTACTCGTGTTTACCATGCGTTGATTAATAGTGTGGTACTTTCTCTATCGCCATTTTCTATACAGTCGTAGAGCGTAGTAACATAGACGTGATTTATAAAATTCATTAATGTTCAGTTTTGCATTGTTTTACGCTCTCTTCGAGCAGGAGAATTCGTCACTTAAAATTTATTGTTGAATGACCATGGACAGAGGAAGTTTCTAATTGGTTCCAGCTGCATTTTCGTGCCGGTTAAACAGTCATAAAATCTTGAGTGCTTTTAGTGAACGAATGTGGAGTTTGGTGCTGTAGAATGTCAGGTCTCTCATTCAGTAGATATATTGATAAATTGATAAGTTCCGCAGTTTTTATTTCGATGCATTTTTTCTGATGCACTCTTCGTCCTAGTCGGATGACGGTTTTACCACACTTCATCAATACAAGCTATTACGTATACGTGTTCCTGCAAATGGCACCGTTTCCAAAAATTTTAAAGGTAGTCATTAAAAATTTGAGGATAGTAATTACATGTGAATTCACATATGGTTACTATTGAGGAGTACTAAATAACTCAAGTGAAGCAATAATGCCCTGTTTCTGTTTGATCGGGTGTACAGATCAGTAACGCATTATGCCTTTTGTCATGATTTTTTTGGGAGTCTAGGAAAATTTTCTAGTTGAATTGTTTCACTTCATAAACTGGCGCAGCTCCGTCGTTCTGTTTGAATAAATAAGTCCTCATAAATGATGCTGCTGTAGTTTTACAGTAACTTTTTGTCTAGAGGAATTTCCGTGAATGATGTAATGTTTGTAATCACCTCGAGAAGATGGGGAAGTTCAGTTGTATTCATGCTTCAGGTATCGCGTACAGTGGAGGATAGGATACCTTTAGCATACATGCATATCGAGTGCTCTATTGCTATTGTAACAAATAATTCGCAAGAGTTTGGCGAAAAAAAAATCTTCACGTCATCTGCCCGTTATCTTTTCAAGTACTCACCGTCACCCTTACTCACGCTATTGATACATTTTTGGAGTTGCTTTGTTCTT